GCATTGAACCCTTTCCCACAAAACATTGATGATAGGTAATATTTGATTTCAAGTTTAATGTTTTGGTCATGTGCGTATTTCTTTGAAGTTTAGAATCCAGGAGTCTTCTTCGACCAGTATGGGTCTTATTAATGCTGATGGCGCTTGTCAGCATCCAGAATCGAGTTCATTTTGTGCAAACTGAATAAACTGTGTACACGAAGAAACGTCTCAAAATACACATCGACAATTCAAACAATAAACTGTAAAGATGGCAAAAAAGCCTGCTTGTAAGTTACATCAATGTGGTTGAGGCGCTCGTACAATATCGAGCTTCGGCATTGATCTTTACCTGATTATCCACACTTCAAATGGTTATTTTAGTTACTACGTTTTGTTTATTTGTAAGAATTGTACAAGTGTAACTTGATTTTGTCAGTGAAGAGATTTGTGCATAAGACTTATGTTCTATTTGGGGGCACCTCAGGCCGCATGTTACAAGGTGCCAGCATTCCCTGTTGTTTCCACGGGCGTGACAGAAACCTGTGATTACAGGTTGAATTTTTTTTATCAGATTTCGCCTGAGCATGTTTACAGGGTTGTTGGTATCATATCCGTGGTTGTGGCTTTCAATAAACTGGCAAAGGCTAAAGACCTGTATGAATTCGAGCTTACTCACTCTTCCGTGTAATTAAGAGACGTTTATATTGACTTAGAGGGCACAAAAGAGAATATTAACAGATGTTAATTTATGAAGAATGTAAACATGACCGATGGTAATCCAGGTTTCAAATTATATCATGTTATTCCATCAAAAACGCATTAAGCCAGGAAAACTATACACATATTGTCAAATACAAAAAGCTATCAGTACATGTCTATGGCGCTCACTTTCTCCATAAACTCTGTGAGCCTGACAGGATGTCACCGAGGAATAGAATGCCGTCATCATATGCCAAGGGAGGACGTTATTGTACAAATGTAGTATTTACACAATAATGAAAATTTACACATGCGCTGAAAAAACATTCACACACAGAAACAAGAAGAAAGATGAGAAGAATTTATAATGTTTACTTAGCCATATTTAATTTAAGTTCGTAACTTGGCACAATGGCGATATAATCATCATACCATGTTTAAATGCTTTTAAGATATTTAAATAACATAAAACATAACATAGAATGCATAAGTTGCATTATCATACGAATACACACATATATATTAGCAATGTTTGATACCTTCAAAATGACCCGAAGGGTGTGGAGTGAAGATGGCCTTTACTTCAGCCCAGGCTTAAATCTTGATAAATTATATCAAAGACCTGAAAACAAGAATGAACTGACTATTACACTGTCAAGAATATAATTATTTTTTTATATGTGTAACCCTTCTTCTCGCGTCCTCACTGGTACGATATTTACTAATTCATCCCGACATTTCATTGGAGTAGCTATGGCCAGGTATCAGTCAGGTTTCCCACCCAGCAGATAGCAATTACAGTCACGAACAAGCAGGCACAATTTCCCACTGTGTTGAACAAACTATTGACCACACTTATTGGTATAAGGACAGGTTTTAGTTCCCATCAATTTTTGTGATGCTCAAATGGAACAACGCTTTCAAATTGAAGAAGATTTAGCATGTCCCATGATTTTTGGCTTCGATTTCCTGATACAGCAAGGCACTGTTATGAAGTTTCAATGTTATACTTTGACTATTCAAAATGTTTGAACAGTTGTTTCTATCTGGGTAAATGGTACTTTGTTACCACCTCTTGCTGGTCCACAAACAGTGACCACAGAGCCAGATCACAGTTCGCTTGCTGTCAAACATTACAATTCCTCCTCAATACAAAAACAATAAACCATTAAACAATTCAATATCGATCTGACAGAAAGTCACACCAAGACTGCCAACGTGATACGAACTGTGCAAGCAATGGTCTCGGCAGTTGGATGGCAACAGCGAACACATAACGATTGCGACTGCACCAGAATAGTACAGTACAATCAGTTACCATCTTTGTGCAAATATCGAACCCATAGACATTCATTCAACACCACAAGGGCAATCTGACAGTTCTAGTGAATTACCACATTTTACCTACATACTACTTATATTACTACTACTACTACTTCTACGAGAAGGTTACCGGTCGCGCTGTCCATACGGGACGTTGTATATGATTCGCGGACCATTACAAAGCATTGTTTGCTCAGCGTGTACATGCAGGAAAACAAATGAACTACAATCTACGAGATATGACGACTACGGGTCACATGGTTATACGATATGATTCAATATACAGTTAGTTAAAAAATAATGCTGAAAATTGAAATACAATGCTGAGAATTCAAATACGAATTGAGATACAGGCATGAAAACATAAATGCAGTCATAAGAACTGAAGGTTTCATAGTTATATGGTACAAATACAAATATATGGTTCACAGTGAAAAATGTTGTGATGATACATGTTGATACAGAATGTTACTAATGTTTGATGTTTTTACTCACACTTACTAGTTACCGTTACCTACTTGTGACAATACTTTTCTTACACACCCGTGGGTGAGAAACCCATTTGAGATAACTGGTATCAAACATATGTGTGAGATCGAATTCCAGGCCCGTGATTGGCTACTCCATGATGATGACCTGAGGTCAGATGATGACGAAGTACTTTCCTTATAGTAATTCATTGATATGTTTCTCGTGCTTCAGTCGAATGCAGACCTGTTACTCATGCCAAGCCCCTTGATACCTACCTGTTATCTACTTGTTATTTTCGCGATTGTATGGAAGGCAAGTATTTATGCAATAAAACAAACATAGAATAAATAAAAACATTGATATATTTTTCATTTCATATTCCGTTTATCGTCTGATATTGTATTTGCTGCCGCTAGGCCTGTAGTCACGACTTCAAAATGGCTGCAACAATCAGTAATATCTGTGTAAACGATCATCGCTGAATAATGATCGCGAATTCGACAAGCTTAACACTGTCATCAAAACAAAACAAAACGTTCTAAAGAGTGAAGGTATGGGTACCTTACCTCGCCGTGCTGAATCCCTCACTGACGATGATATTAACAAACTCTATGAAACAAACCAACTTGGTCCTCACGATCCTGAATCCATTTTAAACACCATGTGGTGGAACAACACCACTCATTTTGGAATCCGTAGTGTCAAACCCCACAATGACATGAAATGGGGCGATGTTGCACTTAAAACTGACTCCGAAGGTAGGGAATTTCTTGAATTCACATAGAGGCAGTCTGAAACATGTCAAGGGGATAATCCTTTGGCTTTCCGAAACATCCACTCCAAAGCTTGGGCGACAAATGATGAACGCTGCCTGGTATCCATCTACAAGCTGTACTCAAGCTTGCGTCCTGCAGGGTACACCAGTCCAGACACACCTTTCTTTATTGCTACCAATACCAAGGAAGCATCGAGCATATTCCCCTGGTTTAAGCGGCAGCCAGTTGGTGTAAATAAACTCAGTTCTATCATGAGACGAATGTCCCCAAATGCTGGCTTCCAAAACAGAAAACTCACTAACCATTCAGCAAGAAAATTCCTTGTCCAAAAACTTTCTGATGAAAATATTCCTCCCACGCATATTATGCAAATTTCCGGTCATCGTAACATGCAGAGTGTCAACAACTACAGTCACATTTCATCCTCCCAACACCGAAACATCAGTAACATCCTTAGCGGCGGTGTCGGGCTGCGGGAACACAAGCAGGCTGTGGCGATGAAGAGTAGTCCCCCTTCGTAAGTGAACGTCACTTCCGCAATGTCACATTCCAGCACACGGGTTACACTCAATGACAAACTCTCCTCAATATTGTCGGCTCTAGTCTATGGGGGCACATTTAACATTAACTTTTACACAGGTGCAGATCCTCCATGTGCAAAGAAATCCAAACAATCCTCCGATGACGATGACTCCATTCAAATTGAATGAGCGGCACCAGCACATGTCCAGAAGGATACTAATATGACGTCACACTTTTAAATTTGTTTCACTTGCGAGACGTAGATTCATCTACATCTGCGTTGCAACTTCAGGTTGTTAGAATGTTTAATAAATATTCTTTGATGTTATCTACTTTGCATTATCATTATGGCCTTGATTATGCACAGATATGGCTGAAACTTTTTTGTGGAGGGTCGCACTAGGTATGAGCTGTAAACAGTAGGCCGAGTGACGTCATGCATTCATAAACGTTGTGTTATATATTAATGCGCCGCAGAGAAGAGAATAGACGAAATACGCATCGATTTAACCCTAAACCATTTATCTTACAACTCGTTGTTTCAAAACGTATCTAACTCGCTTTCGCTCGTTAGATACGTTTTGAAACAACTCGTAAGATAAATGGTATCTGACAGACACCGTGTAGTAATCTCTATGTATAATACTCTTAAGGTACAGTCGGTTACTCCGACTCGAGATGAATGCATCTATACGTGATTGTGCGTATTTAATTGCATTGTAGAACCCAGGACTCTTCTTCGACCAGTGTGGGTCTTATTAATACTAATGGCGCTTGTTAGCATCCAGAATCGAGTTCATTTCGTGCAAACTGAATTGCGACTTCCATAGGGCTTGATTGCTTGATTGTTTGCTGTTTAACGCCGCGCTCAATATTGCTGAATGCGGCGTTAAACAACAAATAACCCAATCTAATCATATGAGACATAACACACCGGCCAGGATCATGAACAGGTATTGGTACTGATGTTAAAGTGTGTATTTCTACAATATTTCCAGGCATTCCTAAAATAGATATTAACTGATTAGGATAGGAGACATTTTCCTTTCAATTATTAATTAGATGCACCATGGTTTTGCATACAACAATTTCGATCACCACACAATCAATAAAATCACTGAAAAGACCTTTCTAGACTCAGATATGCCTTAGTTACCGTTCTAATGAGGAATGTTTCGATAAATCATTACTTAGTGCTGTCTGTCATTACTTCAATAGTTAGATAACAAAGCGATCTCCTTGTAGCAATCATATTGATCATGACAACAGTGGTATCTTTACTACTTCTCACGTCACATGCATGTAATGTTAATGTGACCCGTGTCTGCTTCGAAAGATGTAGTTCTTTCTCACTCTTTTTGATTACCGTAGCTGGGCAGGATAGGAAGACCATCCGTTTACTTGATTTGTATTTCATGAACGTCTTTGAAAATGCAGATGGATATTAGCTTCTTCAGGACTCTTTTCTTGAGTATTGGTATTTCAATAACATTTAGTTTGGAAGAATCTCATTTTAAAAAGACAACCAGTGGAGTTCCAGCCGTTTTAGGTAACTACCAACATCTCCAGGTCCAGAAAGTGTTTGGACTAACGACATGTGCCAGTCTGTGTTTGCGCACGTCATGCCACGAGTTCCAGTATTCTGACACAAGCCGCACGTGCATTACACGACACTCAGAGCCAATATCTGAGAGTGTCCTTAACCCAGGCAGCGGATTGTTTGACATCTTCAACGACAACGAGCAAGGTACTGTGTGACATAATTTCGTTGAGAGAAAACATTGTATAGTTCACACCATAGATCTAAAAACTAAAACAAAGACACTTAAATGAACCTCAGTTTGTAAACTTATATAGACTTGGAGAAAAGCTGGCTATTTATCTTTCAGGACGTTTGATTGAATACATGTCCACAATGTCTTTCTTGGTCATTTTGCTCTTTTTACTTTTGTAATTGGAGCCTACTGTGATATCGAACCTGTGCCATAGATAAACAAAAGCGTAACCACTACGTTAATTCAATTGATGGTGTACATGTACAATATCTTTACTTCAAAATACGTGATGTATATTATTATTACTTTACAGAGCCTAAGACATGTTTAGAGATCAGGAAAAACAACCCAGAAGCTCAGAGTGGAGAGTACAAGATCATTCCCTCGGCTCCTCAGTTTAAGGGTGTGTCAGTGAAGGTCTACTGCTTGATGAATGACACTCACCAGCTGGAGTATATAACACTGCCCAATAGGAACATTGGAAACTTTCCCAAAAGGTCGAACAGTGGTTGTAGAAATGAACAGCCTTATTTAGAAGCTGGTGGTGTTGGTAAAGACGGAGTAACAGAGTATCAGAGGATCAGAGTGAAGCCATCGGTAAGTGCCTACATTAATTTCGCTTTCTGTGACATGTGAGTGTGTGGGTACAGAGTGGGTGTCAGGTAAAGTGAAGAGGAGAACCTACTTAACACATTCGAAAAATAAGATATTATGCTTCTGTGACATTCCAAATAACTTTCTTATATATGTCACAGGTGTCTTTATCGTGCAAAAGAGGTTTGTAACTATTGCTATGTGTAAAACGGAGACATTTCAAATTTCTAATGTATGTATTTCAAATATGTTCAAAGTTCAATTTTGTTTTGATAAAATTATAATTACTTCCCTCCAGCTCTTAAACAATTCAGCTTGTAGAATATATTGTGTGTCTGGAGAAATGCTATATTTCCTTGCTTTAGACTATGACTGTTGTGAGAACTGACACCACCTTCACAAACGGGAACAAGACGAAGCCACATAAGTTTGGTACAGCAGAAGATTGTTATTCATATTCTGGAAGCTGCAAACGAATAGGAACCTTTCAGATCAACACACTGGGCACAGGGATGAAGTTCTCCACCAATGTAAGTGATTCCTTTTCGCTAGCGTTATAAATATGCATGATGTGTTAAAGTGAATCGTCGATAACATTCAAAGAACAAAGATGTAGAATAAAAAGATGCGCTGTTGTAACGCAGCCCTGGGGAAAACAAAATAATCCATCTAGTGAGTCATCTTGATTTCGCGACAAGCAAATATATTATGATGTTAAATGTTACATGCATACTTGAATGTAGAAAAAGAATAATAAGAACAACAATTAATGTTGTTTTCGTTTAATTTAATGATGACCATTACTATCTTGAAAGTAGCAAAGTTCGTTCATACTTATTTTGTAAAACGCATCAAAGTACATCCATTCATTTCCAGCTTAAGTGGACTGGAAAAGAAAACACAGGCAAAGTGCACAGTATAACCCGGACACAGAATGGCGCCGTCATTGATCTGGTGTGTGGAGGCTGGTGTGGGCGATGTGATCCTGATGGAGATATGATCCTCTACCCAAACAATCTGGATATTCAGCCATAGGTCTACCCGTTGTGTGGAGGATAGTGTGGATTGTGTTAAGTATCAATCCGCAAATTGAAACATTAAGTTAACCGAGATATCTGTACGTAAAAAAACAATTAAGTGTGAAACCAATAACCAACCAAGAAATAGTATACAATCAACAATTGTATTATCAAATGAACTAGGTTTACAAATCTATAAAAATTACTGCAAAGGAATTACAATGGCAGTATACACTAGAATGGTAGTACAACAATCAATAGCACTATATGATATGATAGCAGTGGTCAATATCAAATAAAAAAACAGTGGTGATAACAAAAGTCAGTGATAATAATGTATTCAGTCAGCAGCGACAGTAGTCAAACTTTCGAGACCATGCCAGTGAATTGTGAAAGGGTCACCCACAGGCCTATTGTGTATAGTTGGATGTAGAAGAAAACCTGAAATTAAAAATATATTCACACATTACATTACAAATACTGTTAACCTATGGAAAGACGGTGAATAGATATTTCGACCAACAGTAATGTGCAGCGTCGCCATTGGTTGCAAAGATGAAAAAAATGGAAACAGCTTCAGGGTGTATTTAGAGATGCCATTTCGCCAATTGTGTTTCACTCAGGACATTTTATATTTATTGCAATAGTCATTATGAATCATTTGAACTTTATTTAGGTATATATATACAAGAATGGGGAGTTTTGGGTTTAGGCTATTCTATCTTGGTATGCCCTGAAGTATTTGCTGGGAGAAAGTTCTGTAATACAATAGAAACATAAGGCTTTATGTTTCACCTTGAGATCTAATCATGTGTAAGCACCCAGAAACTGAACGGGTCCTTTTTAAAATAACAATCTGTTTTTCTTTTTTCACAGTCAAGTTTTTGCTGATAAAACCATAGCTTTTAAGACCAGTTCTTCGAAATAGGTAGACTCACGTGTTGGAGTGACAGTGCCTATCCCCACGAAACACAAAAACAAATAAACAACACAAACTGCATTTGGTTCACATTCTTGACTCGCATGGTAAGCTTACTATATGTTGATCGACATATGTGTTTTAATGCTGTTCCATGTACCTGTTTCCCCGAAATGTTGTTCACATAGACGTGTCCCTTATGGTGTAACTAGTTTTGAACGTACACGTTATTTTTAGTTTGGATACTATTTAGAAACATTACAATAATGATGGATATACGAAGATAAGTTGTTCAACTTCTATGCTGTAGATGATATCAATGTGTGACTGTTCCTAGAAAAAAGCTATTTCGCCACTTTTACTCATCATTCACAATAGATGTTTGTCATCATCACTATACGCAATCCTTTACTGTTTTAATATATTATACATTATATAAGCTTTCAGTTTTGTTCAACAACTTGTTTGTAGTAGCCACGAGGGTTGAGATATATTAGGCCATTATGTCAAAGGTCAAGGTTACGTGTCTGTGGTCTGTGGTTAAATCAATGTTGTTGTCACCAAACTGTAGATAATACTTGTTGAATAAATATATTCCTACGAGTATATGACAACTCTTTGGTCAAAATAAGTCTCCTCTCTTAAAGGTATTCTCAGATTTAACTACTATTCCGATGATGTATGATGATGGTTGTCACCATAATGGGAAAATGTATTACTAGTTCTATAGTTATGGATACTTACTTCCTCAATATTAAATAGATGACGATGTTGCCCAAACATGTGTGATGGTTCCAAGAAAAACTATTTCACCACTTTTGTGACAGCTGACGGAAGGCGTTTGTCACCATCGCAAACCTTAGCAATTAGCTGTTTTTCTTATTATATTTAATTTAACATAATTGAAATGTGTTACTAGTTCCATAGTTATGGATACTTTCTCCTCAATATTAAATTGATGAAGATGTTGCCCTCCAAAAAGTGTGTTTGTTCGAAGAAAAACAATTTCACCATCGCAAAAGTTAAGCGATTAACTGTTTTTCTTATGATATTTAATGATGCTAACTTTTCAAGAACTTGTTTCAATAGACGCGAGAATTGAAATAGTGTGTGAATTATATTGACATCAACATTTCACACAGGCCAACAGCTGAAAGCACAATGTAAGTTGTTCCCTGAAACCCTCCCTTAGATTTAACAAATATTCTGATGGTTTATGATGATACTTGTCAGCGTTATTGAGATTTAGTTTACTGTAAATTTTTGTTGATAATGTGAAAAAAAATATATTGTATAACAAAAAACATAAAAGTTACATAATGGTTGAAAGTGGAAAATTTGGGTAAATCTAACTGAAGTGTATGATATACTAGTATTAATTGTGGCAATAATTGCTGGAGAAACACGATTGGCATTATATTGTTACATATTTATTCATATTTTGATCCTCAATATTAAACAAACAATAGTTGAACACCAATGCTGACAGTAAATTAGTTCAATGGCTGACTTTGTTGAAATTATATATTGTTAACATATTTAATGGAATTACAATGCTGTAACATTTGTTTTTCTCTAATTTACCTGACGGCATATTTAGATGATGTGCCCAATTTGATCCATGATGTGTTCCTCTCTTGTCGCCATACATGGTAACATGCAAACATGACCTTTTCGCACCTGTTTTAAGTACTCATTCCGCTAGGTATGATATTAAAGATTTAAATTATTTGATATGTAAACATTGTATGTAATTAACGTTATATATTCACCAGTAATGTTTATGCACCTTATTCACCGTTTTCCCATTTCTCAAAACTGGGCTAATAAAAACTCTGATTCAAAAGCGTTGTTTGTGACGTCACTTTACATATGAAATCTGATTGTGATCTTCTTCTGTGACATCACAAGGTCTCTTGATCAGACGGATTTGACATAATACTACATCTCAGAAACCTCATGTTACACATACCTTTAGTCTGGAAGGTTTAAAGACAATCGGTGCATGAATAAAAAATCTGTCTTTTTAGCTATCACTATATTTCATCAACAACCAGACCTGTTCGTCACGGGTAGAACGAGCATTCATTGAAACAGCCATCTGCATAATGCTACCCCTGCGTCACAGGGCCATATGACACAGTTGAACCGATCAACTCAACTCGAAAGGGTGCACGGGAATCACGCACGTACGAATACGGTGATAGCGTTGGGCGTCTCAACGTGCGTGATTCCTGCTCGCTTCCTGTCAAACATTACAATTCCTCCTCAATAAAAAAACAATAAACTACTTCACAGTTCAATGTCGATTCGACAGAAAGTCCCACCAAGACTGCCAACGTGATACGAACTGTGCAAGCAATGATCTCGGCAGTTGGATGGCAACAGCGAACACATAACAATTGCGACTGCACCAGAATGGTATGTTGACAGTACAACCAATTACCCTCTTTGTGTAAATATCGAACCAATAGGCGACCATTCAATAGCACAAGGGCAATCTGACGATTCTAGTGAAACGATTCTTATGTATTAGGGGTAATACAGACTATTTATATTACTACTACTACTTCTACGAGAAGGTTACCGGTTGCGCTGTCCATACGGGACGTTGTATATGTTTCGCGGACCATTACAAAGCATTGTTTGCTCAGCGTGTACATGCAGGAAAACAAATGAACTACAATCTACGAGACATGACGACTGCGGGTCGCACGGTTATGCAATATGATTCCATGTACAGTGTCTTCAAAAATAAAGCTGAAAATTGAAATACAATGTTGAGAATTCAAATACGAATGGAGATTCAGGCATGAAAACTGAAATGGAGTCATAAGAACCGAAGGTTTCATAGTTATGTGGTACAAATATATGGTTCACAGTGAAAAATGTTGTGATGACACATGTTGATACAGAATTTTACTATTGTTTGATGTTTTTACTCACGCACTTACTAGTTACCGTTACCTACTTGTGACAATTGTTATCATACACTTATGATTCAGTCGGTTACTCCTTCCGAGTGAAGACGCGAGATGAATGCAGTCGGAGAGTTATAAGGTTTCACAATGCACGGAACCCTTTCCTAAGAAACAGTTTTAATAGGTAATATTTGATTTCAAATTAACAGTTCCGTTTATGTGCATAGTTCATTGAATTTTAGAATCCAGGAGTCTTCTCCGACCAGTGTGGGTCTTATTAATGCTGATGGCGCTTGTTAGCATCCAGAATCGAGTTCTTTTAGTGGAACCTGAACTACGACTTCCATAGGGTTTGATTGTTTGATTGTTTGCTTTTTAACGCCACACTCAGCAATATTCCAGCTATATGACGGCGGTGTGTCAATAATCGAGTCTGGACAAGACAATACAGTGATTGACATCATGAGCATCGATCTACACAATTGAGATGCGATGACATATGCATCAGCGAGCCTTACCACCCGATCCCGTTTGTCGCCTCTTATGACAAGCATAGTTACATGTTTACCTAATTACATGACATTACTATTGCAATTGCTTATCATCAACAATACTTGCTACATGTACGTTCATCAATGACGTTCCGTGTTTCAATGTGTGCTCCCAGTCCATCACATATCTAAATACGTTGTTTGTTCTTCCGTTGTAAACTGCAATTCATACACTGAATATTGTAAGTTAGTACTTCATGTATAAGCAGTCCATGGCTGCTACGACATATTTTTCGAACTGATTAACATCATGTTAATATTATTCTTGTGGACACAGGTGAACGTGTCATGAGTCCTCCCTGCATTCGAATCACATCGTAATTCTGCTCATATATATCCGAAAAAATGCTATTACTGTCCACACACTGTCCACACTGATAACCAGGCGAGCTGTGGAGTCATGGCTTAACTGACCATGATGACAATACGTTTAGGTAACTGTTGCAGGGTAGGTCTGCTTGATGGAACCGCTGGACAGAAATGATTTTGGGTCATTGGAGAGAAAGTAATCATCCATAACTGCTAGTACCTGCTTACCCTCGGCCAATCTCATCTTGTCTTTGAAAGGCATTTAGAAGTGATACACATAAGGAAGAGAATATATGCGTGTCAACTTCTTTTTTATGAAGAACACAACGTTTCGGAGTATACGCTTACTACCTTAACTCTGAAACGTCGTGTTCCTCATTATAAAGAAGTATGTGCTTACTCCTTCATCAGGTGAAGGAGTGAGCATATACTCTAAAACCTTGTGAATGGATAACTGACAATCTTCGATGCGACAGGTGTTCGCAAAATGCCCTGCTCACCGGTAGCATTCCCAACACACACAATTTGCATTAAAGAGTAAGTGTCTTCTTGTTGCCTTGTAAACAATGTAGTCTTGTTACGAAGTCCATCACCAATTCCCTACTGACTTAGAGTTACAACAAATTGTTAATAACTATATTGTTAAAAATAACATATTTCCTTTGGATCGTTCTGGAACCGTCTTGAGGGTGTCCAAAATGTTTGCTTCACACTACGCGGTTTGTGTTATTATTACATCCTTTACAGATTCGAAACCGTCCTTAACCCAAACAGTGGATTGTTTGATGACCACAACGGCAATTAGCAAGGTACTGTGTAGCATAATTTCATTGAGAGAAAACGTTGTATAATTCACGCCATGGAACTCCATACACATGTTACTGAAACAAGGACACGTAAATGAACGACAGATTTTAAAATCATATAGACTGGGAGAAAAACTTGCTATTTATCTTTCAGGACGTTTGATTGAATACATGTCCACAACGAGTTTTATGGTCATTATAAATTGTATTTTTTAACTTAAGTTATTGTTGTCTACTGTGATACTGAAGCCAAGACATTGATAAACAAAAGCGTAATTACTACTTTAATTCAATTGACGGTGTTTACCATCTTTACTTCAAAATAAGCGATGTGTATTGTTATTATTTACAGAGCCTGAGACATGTTTTGAGATCAGGAAAACAACCCAGAAACTCAGAGTGGAGTTTACAAGATCACTCCTTCGGCTCCTCAGTTTCAGTGTGTGACAGTGAAGGCCTATTGCTTGATGAATGACACACACCAGATGGAGTATGTCACACTGCCAAATAGGAACATTGGAAAATATTTTGGAGGTCGAACAGTAATGAACAGCCATGTCTAATGGCTGCTTGTGTAGAGTAACGGTGTATGAAGTGTTAGTCAGGAGGTTCTAACTAATGCTACCTGTACAATTGAAATATTTTCAAATGCGCCCACATGTAAACGTCATAAATTTGGTATTGTTTGTTTGTTTTTTAACGCCGCATGCAGTATTCGAGCCTTGATCTGACAATCCATTTATTGATATCCTGAGCATCGATTTACACATTCCCGATAGATAACATGCATCATCCAAGTCAGCGAGGCATGACCACCCGATCCCGTTCGTCGCTTCCTGCGACACGCTACCCCCTGGCATACAGATGCTCCATATGAGACATGCTTTCCATAAAAGGTGACTAACGGGATCGGGTAGTCAGGCTCGTTGGCTCTGTTGATGGATGTCATCGTATCCCAATTGTGTGGATCGATGATCATGATATCAATCACTGAATTGTCTGGTCCAGACATGATTATTTACAGACGTCTGGCTTATAGCTGGAATAATGCTGAATGCGGCGTTAACAACAAATAACCTAATCTAACCATATGAGACATAACACAACGGCCAGGATCATGAACAGGTATTGGTACTGATGTTATTGTGTGCATTTCTACAACATTTCCATGCTTTCCTGAGGTAGACCTTAACTGATTTGGATTTTTTGAAAATATTCACATATACATTAATGGCAACATTGTTCCAAGCGTCAGGAAACTGGTTTTTTTGTGGAGTGCAATGTGGTCATCGTGTCATAGCTGATCCTCCAGTACAATGATGATTCTGACACAATTTAGACAGGAGACATTTTCCTTTCAATCAGATGCTCCATGGTTTTGCATACAACAATTTCGATTACCACACAATCCATAAATCCCTGTAAAGACCTTTCTAGACTCCGATTTGCCTCAGTTACCGTCCTAATCAGGAATGTTTCGATAAATCTTTACTAAGTGCTGTCTGCCATCAATTCAATCGTTACATAACAAAGCGATCTCTTTGTAGCAATCTTATTGATCATGACAACAGTGGTATCTCCACTACTTCTCACGTCACATGCATGTAATGTTAATGTGACCCGTGTCTGCCTCCAAACATGTAGTTCTTTCTCACTCCTTTTGTTTACCGTAGCTTGGCAGGATAGGAAGACCATCCGTTTACTTGATTTGTATTACATGAACGTCTTTGGAAATGCAGATGGATATTAGCTACTTCAGGACACTTTTCTTGATTGTTAGTATTTCAATAGCATCAAGTTTGGAAGAATCTCATTTTAAAAAGACAACCAGTGGCGTTCCAGCCGTTTTAGACAACTCCCAACATCTCCAGGTCCAGAAAGTGTTTGGACTAACGACATGTGCCATGTTGTGTTCACGCACGTCATGCTATGAGTTCCAGTATTCTGACACAAGCCGCACGTGCATCACACGACATTCAGAGCCAATATCTGACAGCGTCCTTAACCCAGGCAGCGGATTGTTTGACATCTTCAACGACAACGAGCAAGGTACTGGGTAGCATAATTTCGTTGAGAGAAAACATTGTATAGTTCACACCATAGATCTAAAAACTAAAACATGGATACTTTAATGAACCTCTGGTTTTAAACCTTTATAGAGTGGGAGAAAAGCTGGCTATTTATCTTTCAGGACGTTTGATTGAATACATGTCCACAAAGCCTCTCTTTGTCACTTTGTTCCTTTTTACTTTTGTCATTGGAGCCAACTGTGATACTGAACCTGTGCCACAGATAAACAAAAGCGTAATAACTACGTTAATTCAATTGATGGTGTACAATATCTTTACTTCAAAATACGTGATGTATATTATTATTGCTTTACAGAGCCTAAGACATGTTTTGAGATCAGGAAAAACAACCCAGAAGCTCAGAGTGGAGAGTATAAGATCATTTCCTCGGCTCCTCAGTTTGAGGGTGTGTCAGTGAAGGTCTACTGCTTGATGAATGACACACACCAGATAGAATATGTCACACTGCCAAATAGGAACATTGGAAACTTTCCCAAAAGGTCGAACAATAATTGCAGAAATGAACATTCATATTTACTAGCTGGTGCTGTTGGTAAAGACGGAGTAACAGAGTATCAGAAGATCAGAGTAAAGCCATCGGTAAGTGCCCTTTTACTTTCGGTTTCTGTGATATGTGAGTGTGTGGCTTCGGAGTGGGTGTGAGGTAATGTGAAGTGGAGAACCTACTTTGCACTATTATAAATATTTATTTCAAATATGTTCAAATTTCAATTTTGTTTTGAGAAAATTATCATTATTTCCCTTCAATTCTTAAAAACGTAAATAAATAAGCTTGTAGAATATATTATGTATCTGGAGAAATGGTATATTTCCATGCTTTAGACTATGACTGTTGTGAGAACTGACACCACCTTCACAAGCGGGAACAAGACGAAGCCACATACATTTGGTACAGCAAAAGATTGTTACTCATATTCTGGAAGCTGCAAACGAATAGGAACCTTTCACATCGACACACTAGGCACAGGGATGAAGTTCTCCACTGATGTAAGTGATTCCTTTTCGCGAGCGTTATCAATATGCTAAAGTATATCAACGATAACATTCAAAGAACAAAGATGTAGAATAAAAAGATGCGCTGTTGTAACGCAGCCCTGGGATAATCCATCTAGTAAGTCATCTTGATTTCGCGACAAGCAAATAAATAATGATGTTAAAATGTTACATGCACATTTGAATGTAGATAAGAATCATAAGATCAACCATTAATGTTGTTTTCGTTTAATTTAATGATGACCATTGCTATCTTGACAGTAGCAAAGTTCGTTCATACTTGTTATGTAAATGCATCAAAGTACAACCATTCATTTCCAGCTTAAGTGGACTGGAAAAGGAAGCGTAGGCAAAGTGTACAGTATAACCCGGACACAGAATGGCGCCGTCATTGATCTGGTGTGTGGAGGCTGGTGTGGGGGATGCGATCCTGATGGAGATATGATCCTCTACCCAAACAATCTGGATATTCAGCCATAGGTCTACCCGTTGTGTGGAGGATAGTGTGGATTGTGTTAAGTATAAATCCGCAAATTGAAACAATAAGCTAACCGAGATATCTGTACGTAAAAAGTGGTATATAATCAACAATTGTATTATTAAATGAATATTGTTTACAAATCAATACAAATTACTGCACATGGATGACAGTATACAATAGAATGGTCAATATCAAATACAAAAACAGCAGTGATAAGAAAAGTCAGTTATAATAATATATTGACTCAGCAGCGACAGTGCTAAAGCTTTCGCGATAATCATAGTTGGATGTAGTAGGAAATATGAAACTAAAAATATATTCACATATTTGATTACGAATACTGTTAACCTTTGGAAAGACGGTGAACAAATATTTCGACCAATTATAATGTGCAGCGTCGCCATTTGTTGCAAAGATGAAAACAATGGAGACAGCTTCAGTGTCTATTTAGAAATGCCATTTCGCCAATTGTTTCATTTTATATTTATTAAAATGGATATTATGAATCATTTGAACTGTATTTAGGTATATATATAATATGTATAAAAGACTTAATGTTATGATTGTCATAAGAGGAATGTGCACACACCGATAACCATAAAGCAATGGCATAGCAGTCTTACATGTTGCCTTCTATTTCCACTTGTTCTATCACGGCTAATCAGATATGGCAATATGGGAATGTTACAACATTGTCAACAATATTCCAGTTTCAAGCCACTTGCTGCAATAGCATGCGAGACGCTTAACATACAGGGTATAATGACACATAAACAAACTAACACATCCTGACCTGAACTGAACTGTCCACTCTACAAGAAAGGGGAGGTTGGGGTCTAGCCTATTCTATATCTGTATGCCTTTAAGTATTTGTAGGGAGAAAGTTCTGTAATACAATAGAAGCAAAGGGCTTAATGTTTTCATTGAAGAGATCTTTCACCTTGAGATCTAATCATGTGTAAGCACCCAGAAATTGAACGGGTCCATTTTTAAAAAAATCTGTTGTCTTCTTTCATAAGCAAGTTTTTGATGATAAAACCATAGCTTTTGAGACAGTTTCACCGAAATAGGTAGACTCACGCTGGAGTCAAAGTGCTTATCCACACACAACACAAACATAAATAAACAAGAGAAACTGCTTTTGGTTCAAATTGTTGCAATGTTGACATGCATGGTAAGCTTACTATATGTTGATCGACATATGTGTTTTAATGCTGTTCCATGTACCTGTTTCCCCCAAATGCTGTGCATATTGACGTGTCTCTTATGGTGTAACTAATTTTGAACGTACACGTCAGTTTTAGTTTGAATATTGTTTAGAAACATTACACTAATGATGAACATACGAAGATATAGGTTGTTCAACTTCTATGCTCTAGATTATATCAATAAGTGTGTTTGTTCCTAGAAAAAAACTATTTCACCACTTTTACTAATCATTCACTATAGATGTTTGTCAACAGCACAAATCTAAATCCTTTACTGAATTAATGTATTATACATAATATAACTAAGATTTCAATTTGGTTCAACAACTTGTTTGCAGTAGCCACGAGAGTTGACATATAATAGGCCATTATGTCAAAGGTCACAGTTACCTGATAAGAGTCTGTGTTTGGAATTTCTCTTTCACGATTAATGTTCTCATCACCAAACTTGAGATAATACTTGTTATATGGATGTGTTACTTTATGACAATTCTTTGAACAAAATAAGTCTTGTCTTTGAAAGGTGTTCTCAGAGTTAACAAATATTCCGATTATGTATGAAGATGGTTGTCACCATAATTGGGATTTAGTTCCATTAATGTCTCGAGAAACATAATTGAAATGTGTGACTAGTTCCATAGTTATGGATACTTTCTTCCTCAGTATTAAATTAATGACGATGTTGTTGCCCCCCCCCACCCCCACCGGTAGGCGTTTGTCACAATCGCAAAAGTGATGCGATTTACTGTTTTTCTTATTATTTTTAATTATGCTTATTTTTAAAGAGCTTGTTGCAATAGCCGCGAGAATTGAAATACTGTGTAAATTATATTGACATCAACATTTCACACAGGCCAATAGCTGAAAGCAGAATGTTAGCTGTTTCCTGAAACTCTTCCTTAGATTAAACAAATATTCTGATGGTGTATGATGATTTTTGTCACCGCTATTGAGATTTAGTTTATTGTTAATTTTTGAAGATAATTTGAAAAAAATATATTGTATAACAAAAAAATAGAAGCCACGTAATGGTTGAAAGTTAAAAAGTTTGGGAAAATCTAACTGAAGTGTTTGATATACTAGTATTAATTATGACAATAATTGCTGGAGAAACACGATTGACATAATATTGTTACAAATTTATTACTATTTTCGCCCTCAATATTAAACAAACAATAGTTGAACACCAATGCTGCTGCCAATTAGTTTAATGGCTGACTTTGTTGAAATTATAAATTGTGGACATATTCAAGTGAACTACAATGCTATAACACTTGCTTTTCTCTAACTTACCTGACGGCATGTTTCAGATGATATGCTCAATTTGATCCACATATGTTCCTCTCTTGTCGCCATACATGTTAACATGCAAATATAACCTTTTCACACCTGTTATAAGTACTAATTCCGCTAGATTTGCATTATTTTATATGTAAACATTCTTTATGATAAACATAATATTCACCAATAATGTTTATTCACCTTATGTACTGTTTTCCCTTTCCTCAAAACTGGGTTAATAAAAACTCTGATTCATTTGTGATGTCACTATACATAAGAATCTAATTGTGATCTTCTGTGACACCAAAAGGTCTTTTGATCAGACGGGTTTGACATAACAGTACATCTCAGAAACTGTCACACCTACCTTCATTGTTAACAGTTCAGAACACACATGCTGTTCCACGACACGCATATGACCCCTGTCAGCAATGTGAACAGTTCCAAACATACACATGTTGTTCTAAGACACGCCAAGGACCCCTATCAGCAGTGTGAACAGTTCCAAACATACACATGTTATTCTACGACACGCCCATGACCCCAATCAGGAGTGTGAACAGTCTTACTTTGTTACCACATGTTGTTGGTCAACAAACTGACCACAGGGCCAGAACAGTTTCCTGGTCGCTCCCTGTCAAACATTACAATTCCTTTCAAATGAAAAAATCAATAAACTACTTCACTTTCACAGTTCAATATCGATCCAACAGACAGTTGTCACACCGAGTCTACCCTCCTGATACGAACTTTGCAATCAATGATCTCTGCAGTGGGATGGCAACAGCGAACACATAACGATTGCGACTGCACCAGAGTTGTATCATGACAGTACAATCAGTTATCCTCTTTGTGCAAATATCGAACTCATAGGCGATCATTCAATAGCACAAGGGTAATCTGACGATTCTAATGAACTGCCACATTTTACATATAGACTATTTATATTACTACTACTACTACTACTACTACTACTACTACTACTACTACTACTACTACTACAACGACGACGAGAAGATAACCGGTTGCGCAATCCATACGGGACGTTGTAAATATTTCGCGGACCATTACATAGCATTGTTCGCTAGATTACAAATACTGAAAACGGCGAATAAATGTTTCGACCAACTGTAATCTGCAGCGTCGCCATTTGTCGCAAAGATAAAAACAACGGAGGCAGCTTCAGTGTGTAGAGTTTCCTTTCCTCTCCGATTATGAACCATCGATAATTCAAATTCGCCAACTTTGTTTCACTCCGGACATTTTATATTTATTGCAATGGTCATTATGAATTATTTGAACTGTATTTGGGTGTATATGACAGTTATATTTAATATGTATAAAATACCTAATGTTATGATTGTCATAAGAGGAATGTGCACACACCGATAACCATAAAGCAATGGCATAGCAGTCGGAAATGTTCCCCTCTATTTTCACTTGTTCTATCCACGGGGGGCGGTCGGGTAGCCTAGTGGTTAAAGCGTTCGCTCGCCAAGCCGAAGACCTGGGTTCGATTCCCGACATGGGTACAATGTGTGAAGCCCATTTCTGCTGACCCCCGTCGTGATGTTGCTGGAATATTGCTAAAAGCGGCGTAAAACCATACTCACTCACTCTTTCCACGGATAATCAGATATGGCAATATGGGAATGTTACAACATTGTCAAATATATTCCAGTTTTACGCCACTAGCTGCAATAACATATGAAACGTTTAACACATGGGGTGCAATATAAACACATAAACCAACTTACACGTCCTAACTTGATCCGATCGGAGTCAACTCTACAAGAATGGTGACGTTGGGGTCTAGCCTACTCTCTCTGGGTATGCCTTTAAGTATTTGCAGGGAGATAGTTCTGTAATACAATAGAAACACAAGGCTTGACAATATAATTACGTTTCACCTTGAAATCTAATCATGTGCAAGCACCCAGAAACTGAACGGGTCTATTTTTAAAATAACAATCTGTTTGTCGTCTTTCATAACCAAGTTTTTGATGATAAAACCATAGCTTTTCTTCGAAATAGGTAGACTAAGAGTGAAAGTGCTTATCCACACAAAACATAAATAAACATGAGAAACCACTTTTGGTTCACATTGTTGACATGCATGGTAAGCTTACTATATGTTGATCGACGTACATGTATGTGTTTTAATGCTGTTCCATGTTTCCCCGAAATGTTGTGCACATTGCCGTGTCCCTTATGGTGTAACCAATTTTGAACGTACACGTTAGTTTTAGTTTGAATATTATAAGAAACATTACACTAATTATGGACATACGAAGATATAGGTTGTTCAACTTCTATGCAGTAGATGATATCAATAAGTGTGATTGTTCCTAGAAACATTCTATATTACCGCTTTTACTCATCATTCACTATAGATGTTTGCCATCATCACCAAACTCAATCCTTTACTGTTTTAATATATTATACATAAAATAATTAAGATTTCAATTTTGTTCAACAGCTTGTCTGCAGTAGCCACGAGAGTTGAGATATAATAGGCCATTATGTCAAAGGTCACGATTACCTGATAAGAGTCTGTGATTAGAATTTCTCTTTCACGATTAATGTTCACATCACCAAACTTAAGATAATATTTGTTATATGTATGTATATCTATATGACAACGCTTTGGTCAAAATATGTCTCGTCTCTGAAAGGTGTTCTAAGATTTAACAAATATTCTGGTGATGTATGATGATGGTTGTCACCATAATGAGGATTTAGTCCATTAATGTCTGGAGAAACATAATTGAAATGTGTTACTAGTTCCATAGTT